AGAAGGTGTTCATAATGGACAATCCGTTGTTCGCACAAAACCGCAACAACTTCATGCCGTTATCGTTGAGGTCGCTAGGGCCGTTTTTCCCTATCCGCCGTTCCACTTTTCAACGTCTGCTTCGACGTGCGCATTGAAATCGCCCATGAATATGAGGGACTCTGTATTCGGCACTTCGGACAGAGTGCACTGCACTTCCTCAAGGAAGATCTCATATTCTCCTTCCGAATTGCGCGCATAGACCTGTACCAAGGTCATCGCTTGAGCCTGTTGTAGCTTCAGTCGCAGGATTACCACCCTTCCGCTGATAGACTTCCAATCGATTATTCTATCGGCAAGGTTAGGTTCGACGAGAACGCCAACACCGGACTGAGCGCGAGTCGTGATATCGACGCCTGAGTAGAACAGCTTCCAGCCATTGAGATTCAAGAGTCCAGAGCCTGGGCGTTTTATTGACGAGAGTCCAAGAATGTCGAGTTCGTGCTTCGGGGCTTCATCAACTATTTCAGGTTCTTTTCCTCTGAGTGAGGATATGTTCCAATTTCCGACTTTAAGCTCCCACTCTCTCATGGAGGCTTTTCTGACGTACTATAATGGCATCGCAGTGTCTGCCTCCCCCGTTGAGAACGGGTAGCGACTCCTTTGCTGAGTGGTTTCTTCGTCGTCGTTGCGTAGGTCTTCGTCAGCCACCGTTGTTGTGCTGCCACACCCCCGGCTGGCAGAGGGCAATGAGCAGGTTCTGATCGCCGACTTTACGCAGTCTGCCTCGGTCTCCCAAGAGCCTGCGCGGCCCTTGGCAATCCGGGCGACGACCGAGCCGGTATAATTTTTGATGGCGTCAATACCATGAGTGGCAGGTGGCTGAATTTTTTACGGGGACTTAGCACGGTCTAAAAACTATCCTCCTCTCTGGTCCGAGCTTAGTACCGGCAATGGCGGATTTTCAAAACAGAACCCATAATCTAAAAAAATGGGAGGGTAACTAACACAGATTTGACCGTTCACACAGATTGCCAGCCATCATTA